GGGATTTTCAATTTATTTTACAGCTAGAAGTTGTATTCTTGGACCGCCAGTCTACCTCCAAAGCTCTACTAAGCACTATTCTAATTTGGTACTATGCACTCAATTTAAGATTCCACATATAAAAAAATACCTTACAGTATTTGTCTTTATCTGACTTACTTCACTAAGCATTGCCCTCAAGATGTATCCATGCTATTGCAAACAATAAGATATCCCTCTTTCTCAAGGTTGAATACCATATTGTGTTAAATAAATACATACTTTTATCCATTCATCCATTGATGTACTCTTATGTTGCTTCCATGTCTTTGCTATTATGAAAACATACTACTTTTCTCATATAAATAATATGGACTGTATAATTAAAAAGTACTTAAATTGCCTCTCTAAATGTAGGTTTTCTGAATATAACTTATAATTTAATACTAGATTTGTAAAATTTACATTGACATTTACAAATCTACTAATTATTAAGCCTTTTAAAAAATTCTGTGCTGTGCATAAAACAGATATTCTAAATTAATCTGCGTTGTGGAAAGCATTTTGAATAATACAAAACAAGATGCTTTTTGCCCTCCAGAAACTTATAGTCTAGCTGGAAAGGGTATGTGCAAAACTTAAAATACAAACAGTAGCTCATAAGAAAAGAACCCTTTTGGTTATGGTAAATAATGACTCAGAGATAAAAGCAAGATTTCAACAGAAGCTAATGAATAATATTCTGATAGGCAAAGATGAAGTAAGAGAGCATTCCAAGAAGGGAGTGTCCCTGATATCAAACTAAGGAGTTTGAACTTCACTCTTTAACCAAGAGTGAACCCTAAAATACTTCAAAGTAATAAAATAAGGTAGAAAAATAGGTATGAAAATGTAGGTACAAGTTTAAATGGCTTTCCTGAGATCCAGTTAACCATACTTTTAATCATACAATTTGTTGTTTTGGACATCTATTTCATTGATTAGTACACCATTATTATTATACCAACAAGAGTGTACATTTCTTCCCAGGGTTACTCAAAGACTCAACTTATTTCCTAAGCCCAGAATTAATGGCTCATTTCAGATTTACGGTTAACAATCTTTACATACAACATTTTCCACTATCATATTAGCACACTAATGTCTTGAATACAAATTTTCCTTACATCTAACACACCTCTTCATCCCTTTCAAATACTATCTACTGACAGCAACTTCTATAGGTAGTGTGAGGAAATATTTCTGAGGATAATTTATGTATTAAAAGTAATCTATAATCTGAAAACTGCTAAGGCTAATTTGAAATTTGTGTTCTTAAATACTACTTTATTATTTACAAATGCATACTTTCCAATTCAGTTCAGCACATTTTATTTTAAGATTTATTTATTTATGCATACAGAACTAGGGTATAGGCCAGAGGTGCTGGGGCAGTGAGAGGATTCACCAGAGACAGAGTAGAGAGCAGAACAGGCAGACTGATGAAGTACACTGCTGAGGGGAGCAGTGGGCGGGTCAGGAGAGGTCTGTGGAGCCATGTGGGTAACCTCTGAGGCTGGGGATCAAACTCATGCTAAAGTGGCTTTAGCTTTATTATTATTATTATTCTTTTTATTCTATTATTTAATGTAGTATCATTGTTTTACACCCTTGTTAATATCTTGACAATGTAAAATTTCTCCCTCTCCCCTTCTGGATGCTCAGATTTATGGTCAGCTTTTGAGTGTTGTTTTTTTTTTTAAATAATATGTTTATTTTTACATTACTTTGTGCATTTTTCCATCTCAGTTGTAATCCCCGTGGGCTTCCCATCACCAAATCACCAGTGTGCCATCACCACAGTCCAGTGCATTTCCCTCCCCCCACTATTTTTGATCCCATCCCCCACTCCACCCAGTTTTAGCTTCTTAGTGTTGTGCGTTAACCCATTGCACCACCAGGGAGGGTCCTCAGCATATTTTTTAAAGATTTATTTATTTATGGATACAATAACTAGGGTACAGGCTAGAGGTGGGTGTGGAGGAGGAGGGGGATTTGAGAGGATTCAGCAGAGACAGGAAGGGGAGCAGAACAGGCAGAGCTACTGACACACACTGGTGAGGGGAGCAGCACATGGGACAAGGAGAGGTCTGCTGTGCAATGTGGGTCACCTGCCTGGCTAGGGATTTGAACTAGTGCTGCAGTGGCTTTGGACAGCTTCATAGTGCTTAGCTTTAACCCTTTGTGCCACCTGGGAGGACCCAGTTTAGCATATTAAAGAGAAAAATTTAGCCCCTCCCCCTTAGAGTACAAAACACCATTATCTCACACAACACTCAAGTAAATCAAAATCATAGTTTTCTTCAAGCTGCTTCATTCTCAAAGTTGTGTTGAAACTAGTGTTTCAATACCCTTGGTTGAAACATCAATTATTCCATTCATTAAGCTACACCTCTACAACCCCAATCTCACACAAACACCCCAAACCTTTTTTGAGCACCCTTTTCTGGGTTCCAAATACATGAGTGACCCCTATTGTAAATTCTTGAGTACTTTTTTAAAGTCTGAATTAGAGTCACAAATTTGAGAAAGCAAAGCTGTTACATTCAAAAAGCAGTATCTACAGAAACACTTTATAAACACATGAACTGCACCAGGTTTCTAAAATTTGAAGTCAGGAAAGAATTTTAAAGAAATAATACTCTCTTAACACTGAGACTTCAAACATTACTTACAGTATACAATAAAAGATAAATACATAAAAATTCACTAGAAGACCCATGAATTACACACAAATTATTATTAATGTTTTCATAGTCTCATGACTAATCATTTTACACAGCAATTCTTATGGACATTTAAAAAAAAAACTTAGGCCAATAAATGCACTTTCCTGCCACAAGGCTAATTTTCTCTTTTTAAAATACATTTTTCCCCAAATGCATATACATCTTTTCAAAATTAAAGTATGTATGTTGTTCACCTGCAACCATTTTAAAACAATTCACTCTGGGTTATGCAGGGATAATTGATAGCTCCTCAATTTAGCCACAGCGTTTTCACATTCAAAAGAAGTTTGTGAACCTAAATTTACTTTAACTCACATTTTTTTCAAGAAGCTCAAAAAGTTTAAAAGTCAAAAAAAAATGTTAAACTTTGTGAGAAAAATGTATTCCTGAATGAAAAGACTGAAGTCTGGCACCTGTACCTCCTTGACCCAGTTATATAATCATGGACCAACAGCCAACAGTTGAGTCTTAAAGTGAAAGAGATCAAGGTTAACCATTCACAAATCTACAGGACCACGCAATTTCCCATAAGGTATTCCTGCATTTCATTTCACCTCATACTTCTGAACCCATATATGCTTTAGCTTTTCGCATTCTAGATCTTAAAGGTAGCTCTTCGTGACCTCTGAAGAAAGGAGTTAGTGTATTTGAATAGGGGGTGAGTTTTGGAAGGAAAGGAATATGACTTCTGAATTTCAAGGCTGCCTTAAACTTATATAGTAACTAACTCCAAAAGCAAAAAACAGTTATTCTTAATGTTCACAATATACCTGAGTTAACGGAAGCGCACATTTGTTTCTTTTATAGAGAATTAAAGTAGCTTACCAATTTCTGGTCTACTAACTCCCTCATATGAAGTTTGTGTCTAAAATTAAGTATGCCCCTTTTAGATAAGTTGGATTTTAGGCTTTACAATTTGTTACATTAGAGGGAAATTACTAAATTCATAACACAACTTAAAATTCAAGGTGTTTTTCTGTATGTGCTTTAAAAGGTAGACACGAATTTAAAAATATTTAATTCGCATACACAACGGAAATAAATTAGTATCTCATTTAAAAACCAAATGTATAATCACATACACACTACTGAAAAACGCAATCAACTCAGAAGTCACATGCTGGTTTCCTAACGGCCTATTTTGTTTTGATCCATATTTAAAAATTAAATAAGCCAAAATTTAACGACAAATTGATTTGCAGTCTATGATAGTCGAATTAAGACGATACTAAAAACAATTAACTCTTAACATTATTACCATTCAAATGATGAAGATCAGTACGAAGATTTGAGTATTCTAACTAAAACCAGTTATTTCACGTAGTTCTAATAAAGCCAAGGTCACAACCTATTCCCACATTGTCAAGTTATCTTTGAAAAGAGAAAAACTTCACTGATATCGATGAGCACTGCGTTTTTTTTTTCTTGTTAAAAAAGAACAAGAACGTTCTTATTCTCTATTCAGCTTTCATAAGACAAAATCAGGGTTTGCGGAGAATAGGATATATCCCAAGCATCACTGATTTTTCGTTATTTTTCTAATCTACTCGTAATTAGATACAAGAACGAACAAAAATAACCAGGATTCACAGAAAGCAAAACTAGAACTTTCTTTCCTGATATTCCCAAACCTTACTATTTCCAGGTGTGTAAACCAGCTAGGAACGCAGACAGGTTTGAGTTCCACTTCCGCTCCTACTAAACCTACAATTCTCCACTGAAGCGTTTAGGATCAGCATTTAAAAGGACTAGCAAGAAAGTGGGGTGGAGGTGGTGGGGTGAGGTGAGGAGTTGGTCAAGATTTAATTACAAAAACAAAAACTCTGCTATAGCTTCTAGCAGTAAGTTATCACAGGCCCGTAGAGTCTGGCACTGGGTAAAGCCCAACAGGCTTCGCTTAACTCCCAAACAGCCTTCAAGCAAGGGAGGTATGGAACACAACAGTGGAAAGTTTAAACAGATTTGGTTCCTCCGGGAATGGGGGAAGGGAGAGGAGGGCAAGTCTGGGCTTGGCTGAGGGAGCACGCGGGGTCTGCACGTCGTTCGGCAGTCGGAGGCTCAGGCATTTTCCGCAGCACCCTGGAGTCCCGGCCGCACAGGACAGCTACGTGGGGCCGAGTAGATGGAACGAAGAAGCAGACAGAGAAGAGGGTGGGAAGGGGAAGGGTCCGTGACTCTGGGTGGAAGTTGGGAGCGGGACGGTGCCAAGACGCCGTGGAGGGAGCGGCGAGAGCGGCGGGTGGCTTTACTTACTCGGCTGTACCAGATGCTGAGGCGGGCCGGGGCCAGCACGGCGAAGAAAGTCCTGTGGGGGTCGGACTGAACGTGGAAAGGCGCCTCAGCCGGGTTGCCCAAGGGGCAGAGCAGCCGCTTGGGCCAGCCGCTTAGGAAATACATGGTCCGCGCGAAGGCGCCGACGCCCGGCGCCCCCCGACCCCGTCGGTCACACTCAGCGGCCCCGGGCCAGACGTCAGCCTCCCACACCGCCACCGGCCGAGTCGGCGGCGGCGGTGGTAGCTCGGGGCATTTGCCCGCTGGCCGGGCCGGGCCGGGCCGACGCAATGCCAAGCTACCAAGCTGACTGGGCCCAGTGCGGGGGGTGGGGGGGAGAGGGGGTAGGGAGAGTCGGGACGGAGAGGGGGCGGAGGAGAGCAGAGGCCCGCCCCGGCCCCGCCCCTTCCTCGGGCCGCACTAGCGTCACCACGCCGCGCCGACTATGTCTAGCCGAGAAGGGCCGCCGGGCGCGCACGCGCATTGGAGACTTCTTGCCTCGCCCTCCTCACTCTGCTTCCGAAGCTCCGCCCTAATCTTCGCAGGGGCTGCTGCTCAACGCGAGCACATTTGTTCTTTTGCCCCTCTCTCGCTGCTCTGCATCTCCCACTTGCAATCTGGAGCATGAGATCAGGGTTGGGAAGGCGTGGCAGCCACTTGAGGCAAGTGGAACGAGTTGCACGAGACGCGGCTATGGGACGATTTGGCTGATGGAATATCCCCCTCACCTGGCCTAACCAATTTTGACTTCCCGGGGAACCGGTGAGGCCGTTCAAGGGGCGGGCCCGAGGCTACGTTGCCGAGGGTGTGGGGAGGACGTGGACTCGAGTCACATGACTCTTGGCGTTTTGAGCCCTGGGTGTTCAGCTGTAAGCGTGTGGCCAGGTGTTTTCTCCTGTGTGCCAAGGTTTGCAGTGAAAACCAGGTGGTGAAATTCCTGGGAGTTTACATACTAGAGAGGTCCTTTAGTCAACACACCACTTGCCATGAAAGTGCCTACCTACTGTCCTCTGTCCTTGAAGACTAGTATATATTTTTAATTTAGTTTACATTTATCAATGCCTTTATTTCCCTAAATCAGGAAACAAGACTATCTCTTGCATCCTCAGTACAGTATGTACTGCACAGACTTAAACTTAATTATAGCGCTGGAATGAACTTTAGAGACTGTAGTTTTGTGTTTAACTTTTGAACTGTAGGGATCACCTTAACAACTACTGTTTTTTAAAGTTATGGGAGTGAAGATGGAGTGAGGGGTAGGGAACGGGATCTCAGAAAGGGATCTCATTGTCTACCTTTTTTGTACAGTTTTAATTATGTCATATGTTTATAGTTTTCAGTTAAAAAATATTAACCGTTAGGGCCTCCCCGGTGGCCTAGTGGTCAAGTCTCATTAAAGTCCCACAGCGACTGCCTGAGTTCCATCCCAGGCGGGGCAGTCGATCCACTTCTGGGCAGCAGACCTCTCCTCTCTTGCCCATTCAGTAGCTCTGCCTGTAATGCTCCCCACGCTGTCTTCTGGTGAATCTTCTCACCCCCGACACCTCTGGCCTGCACCCCAGTTCTACGCAAAGATAAATAAAAATAAATGCTATATTTTAAAATACTAAGGGCTAGCCTAGGTTAAAAAAATTATTAACCCACATTAAAGAAGCAGCAAAATAAACAGTAAAAGGGAAACAAAGTAATAATCATCTCAGACTTACAATTGTATGTGGTAGTCATACAAAATATGTAACTTTCCATAATTTTTCCAAATATTCACTGCATTTCCCAGGAAGTAATCAAAGAAACCAGGATTCCTTAAATCAGAGTTGAAATTTCTTCACTGCCTACCAGCCCATTATGGTCAGACTGTCTCCTCCTGCTGTTTTTTTCAGACATCCAATACAACAGCCCTAATGTACTAAGCATAGTAAACTCTGAAAATATTTGTTAAGTTAAACATTGAATGAAACCCTAATGCACATGAATTATACCAGATGAAACAAATATATAGACAATAAGAGAGGCCCTTAGATTTCTTAACTTGCATAAAATTGCAGAATAACACAAGTTGCATCATTAGACTCAGTAATGCACTTGGGCAGAAGGAGAAAGGATGTGAAAATAAGTTACAGTGCAGTGATTCCACTGGCAAGTGTGCTAACTGTGTTTTTGTCTCAGTTCTCTTTCCAAGGGTCTTTGTTCTCATTTGCCTCTTAAGTGTGAGCAGCTCACTTCACTCATAAGCAATTTAAGAAACTTATAAATGATTTTTATTGCAGTGAGTTTTTATCTTCACTTACTGATTTAAGGATCTAATTCCCTCCCACACTCCTTACAACATTTAAGGTTTATAAAATATTTTCAAAAGATATAACTTGATTTGGTAAGTCTTCAAAGTAGATGTAATGTTTCCACATGAGGAAACAGGGTCTGAGTGGTATGCATCTTTAAAATTATAAGACCTAAAAAACTGGTCCTCCATTTACAGACTCAGGAATCTTTAGATTCAGTGGATTGAACTGAATTGTAATTATTCTACGCTGTGAGAGATGATACAGGAATCCCCTTATATGGGTTTTTATTAGGAGTCTGACTCTTCGCAACCCCTAATTTATGAGTGCCTCCATCAAGATAGAAACTTTATAAACTAAATTTTCTAGCTTTCAAATATCATATTCTAACTTTACTTTCACTTTGTAAAATACTCTAGTAATTGGCCCTCCCTGGTGGCGCAGCGGGTTAAAGCACTGCACTAAGAAGCTGAAACCACTCTGGCATGAGTTCAATTCCCGCTGCCCTGGAGGTGGCCACATGGTGTGGCAGACCTCTCCTGACCTGCCCGCTGCTCCCCTCAGCAGTGTGCTTCGTGGATCTGCCTGTTCTGCTCCCCACTCTGTCTCTGGTGAAGTCTTTCGCCACCCCTGAGCCTCTGGCCTGTACCCCAGTACTGTATGCACAAATAAATAAATCTTTTTAAAAAAAAACACTCTAGTAATTTCCATTATCTTGGAGTTTCTCACCCTTTTCCTATCCCACAACCATCACTCCTTAGTCAATTTATTGAACTCTATTCTAAGTCAAGATTAAGCTAATTATAAAAGTTGAATGACACATGTTTTCATCTGTCAGAGTAACAGATTTTTTGTTTTATTGTAACATTGGTAAGATTGCATCCTGTTGGTGGCAGTATAATTTGATGCAATTTTTCTAAAAAATAGTTGGCATTTCATTTAAAAAAGGACAGATCTTAAAAGTAATGCATACGAACTTAGATGGAACTAGAAAAGATCATGTTTAGTGAGCCAGAAAGAGAAAGAAAATTACTGGATGGTTTCACTCATAGCAGGAGTATAATGGACCAGGTGGAAAATAACAAAAATAATGAACAACCATATACCAGAGACATTTTGTGGGGGTGGAGTGGGGAATGGGATCAAAAACGGGATGGTGGGAGGGAAATGCATGGGATTATGGTGATGGCACATGGGTGACTTGGTGATGGGGATTACAATTGAGATGGAAAAAAAATGTACAAAAGGATGTAAAAATAAACTTTTGTAATAAAAAAAATAAGGAAGTAAAAAAAAAAAAGTAATGCATATGTTTAGCCCCCACTATTTCTTTCCTATGATTTTTCCTAAGGAAAAACTTTTTCCTATCTACAATTTCAGATTTAAGAATGTATCTCACAAATGCATGTCTAAAAGGATATAACCTAAGTGTTCCCGCAGAAGACATTGGCCTTTTTAAAGTGGAATATTGTACAAACAGAAAAAGTGTGTTTGGCAGAGTAATTAAATGGAATGATGTTCGCTAATAAAAGCAGTTCATGAAAAAAAGTAAGAAAATTCCCGATTATGGGAGCTTTGTGCTTTCCAAATTGCCTATACATAATGAACTCATGTTAGTGTTACTTTTTTAAGATCTATTTATGCATACAGAACTGGGATACAGGCCAGAGGAAGTGGGGGTAAAAGGATTCACCAGAGAGAGAGTGGGGAGCAGAAAAGCAGATGGACTGCAATACACTGCTGAGGGGAACAGCAGGTGGGTCAGGAGAGTTCTGTCACACCATGTGGGTCACCTCCCTGGCCAGGGATCGAACATGTGCTGCAGTGGCTGAGGTAACTTCAGCGTTGTGCTTTAACCCGTTGCACCACCAGGGAGGGCCCTCATGCTCCTTTTGTAATTTAAAAAAAGGTATGTGAAACAGTTAAAATGCTAATGATTAATAAAGTCTCACTTGCTGTGCTTTCAGAAGTGCCTGCAGTGCTGGCATGTCAAAAGGAGTAATGGAGTAATAAGGCATTTCAGGCACTGTTCTAAGACTAGGGAGTTAGGAAGAAAGGCTCTAGAATTGCCAGACCAAAAGTCCGGCCTGTGACAGATTTTGATTGATGACATAAGGCTGGGGTCAGGCTTTAATTCTGAGCATACCACAGCCATGTATGGGGACTTCCACAAAAGTCCAAGATAATACTCACTGAAGATGATACTGCTCGTTAATATGCTTTTAACAATCTACCTTATTATACTTTAATGTGTGCAGCTTGTTTTTGTTTCCACACTAATCTCTGTCATAATTTATTCCCTTGTGGGGATTGGTAGTGAATATCTCAGCTACAAATATATGATGTCTGGGTTTTGTTCTAAAATAATCAGGGCACTAGTGGAGTAGGTGGAATATACATGAAATAATATTGTCCATGAGTTGATAATCATTGATGCTGAGTGGTAACTACTTGGAAATATATAGTGTTGCTCACTCCACTTTTCTATGTCATTTAAATTTTCAGTAATAAAAGTATGAACATTTAAATTAAAAAGAACATCTCAGTAACTCTGGTCATATGTAACCAGTTTACCTTATCCACAATCCTTCTCACAATAAAAAATATTAAATATTTCTTAGAATCATTTAATAAGTCAAAAGCAGAGTGACTTAATAAATGTAATGGACACAAACTAATCGCTGGACAGGAACATGAGCACAAGTCAGAAAATAAAATGAGGAATTCCATTGTTCCTTATCAGGCAGAATGGGAAAAGAGCCAATATTCTTTCCCTTCCCTTGGTGGTTTTAAAAATTTTAAGAAATCATTGAAAACAAATTAGCCAACAATAGCAATTGTTCTGTTTGACCATGTCTTAACCTGTATAAAAAAGAAAAAAAGCTATACTTGAATTGTTCTACATGTGTCCTTTACTAAAATAGCATG